TATCCCTTGAATAGGACTGGTATTCTTTCAATGTTTGGTAGAATTCACTAGCAAAGCTATCTAGATCTGGACTTTTCTTTGTTGGGAAGTTTTGGATTACCCTTGCTTTCCATTTGCATGGATTTTTTAGACACTTTGAGGCACTGCCTCAATGGTTGGGAACACCGGCTCGGCACTCCGGTTTGAGTCCCAGCTGTGTGAATTTGGGCAAATCACCTCATCTCTCTGAGCCATAGGGTCCTTATATGGAAAATGGAAAAGTAGGAAGATATAATACCTGCTTGATAGGGGATTGAAAAGGATAAATACCATTATGCATGTAAAATATTTAGGACAGTGACAGGCACACAGTTAACACTGGGTAGGTGTTAACAATGATGATTATTTGTCTTGAAAATTATAGGCCACTCCACACTTGAGTTAGAATTAATCCTCTAGCTTCCTGGCCCTCTCTGGTTGTCAGTGTCTGGTCAAGAATGTCGACACTTTGGGGCACCTCAGTCAGTTACGTGTCCGACCTTGGCTCAGGTCATCTTCTCATGGTTCATGGGTTCGAGCCCCTCATGGGGCTGTGTGCTGCCAGCTCAGAGCCTGGAGCCTGCTTTAGATTCTGTGTCTCCTTCTCTCTGCCCCTCCCCCACTCATGCTCTCTCGTTCTCAAAAATAAAAAAACAAAAATTAAATACAAAACAGAATGTCGATACTGGAGCCAGACTGCTGTGTGACCCCTGCAATTGAACCTTTTGTACCAGTTTCCTCGCCTGTAGAAAGGGGATAAGAACAGTACTGACTTGGTGATGTTGTTGAGGTTAGATGAGCTAACCTGTGTTAGGTGCTAAGGACAGTGCTTGCCACATAGTAACTGCTGTGCAAACATTTGTCAATAAAAGTGAGCCTCCTCTTTGTTGCTGCTGCTGTTCTGAAACCCTCCCCCTTACCCGCCACCCCCCTGCACTCATTCTGGTGGGAGAAAACAGCTCACTTTGTGCCTGCAGCAGTTGGGGCCAACATCTGAAGAGGAAATGGACTTTTACTTGCCTTTCAGTGTCATCTTTATGGAAGGTGATGATGCCTAAGGATAGAGTATGTGGCAGGGGCGCCGGCGTGGCCCAGTCGGTTAAGCATCTGACTTAGGCTCAGGTCATGATCTCATGGTTTAGGAGTTCAAGCCCTGCATCGGGCTCTCAGCGTTGGGCTCTCTGCTGTTAGCACAGAACCTGCTTCTGATCCTTTGTCCCCTCTTCTCTCTGCCCCTCCCTTGTTCTCTCTCTCTCTCTCTCTGTCTCTCTCACTGTCTCTAAAATATAAATAATAAATAAGCATAAAAAGGGGTGCCTTGGTGGCTCAGTTAAGCATCTGACTTCAGCTCAGGTCATGATCTCGTGGTTCATGAGTTCAAGCCCCACGTTGGGCTCTGTGCTGACAGCTCAGAGCCTAGATGCTGCTTCAGATTCTGTGTCTCCCTCTCTCTCTGTCTCTTCCCCTGCTAACACACACACACTCTCTCTCTCTCTCTCTCTCTCTGTCTGTCTCAAAAATAAATGGTAAAAGAAATAAGCATAAGAAAGAAAAGAATCAGGTAGGTGGCCGTCTGCCAGGAATGGTATTTGAGCAAACCTTTCCTTCTTGCCAGAGGCAGACTCCTGTTCCCTTGCAGCCCAAGTTGGCCTTGCTTGCTTTTCAGATGTTCTCATCCACGACAGGTGGCAATGTTTTCCGGGCTTAACTGGCCCCTCCTGACTTTGCAAAAGAGCTTGAGTTTGTGTGTGTGCTTAATGTGAAGTTGACACATTCTTATCTGTCTTAACCTTCTGGTGACATTAGGAAATGGAGGATTAGCGTCTAAACCCAGGGAATTAAAGCCAATTTGTGGTGCCGGGAAGACAAAAAGGCAAGTGTTGGGGAAGGATCAAGCCTGTGTTCCTCTTGCTCACCGGTGCTGCTTTATTAATAACTTAGGTGTGAGTTACACATACCGGGTCAGAGTTCTTTGACACCTGTCAGACCCACCTGGGTTCCCAAAGACCTGGACATCATTACCCACAGACTCATTCTGGAGAAACACTTTCCCTCCCAGTCTTCAGCTCTGACAAACCTTGCTGCCGGCCTCTCATTATTCTTGCCGAGCTAAGTGGCTGACCTTGGAAACACAAACACTCCTTAAATGAAAATTACATTTGAATGCTTGGAGGAAGATCAAAGTCATCTTTGAAAGGCACGTTGTGAAGAAGGCGTGCCCATAAAATGAAACAAAGCATGTTTACAAAGAGGCAGTGGTGCCTTTTCTCCGGTGCCCTGCCGGGACCAACCGCCCCATTCATGCATGTCAGTTGGTCGTCTCCTCACCTGGAAAACAGGCCTTTTTTTACAGGGCGGGGGTGAGATAAAGCAGATGCTCCCTGGTGCCAGGATTTCAGTCTCCCGCTGGCAGCCAGACCTTTGACTCTGGAATTCCCAGAGGATGCAATTTTGCATTCCCTAAACGCCCTGAAATGAGGAGAGGATGTGACCTCCTCATAACCTTGCCGGGAGCTGTCCCGAGTCCTGAGGCACGGAGGAACGTGCCGCCAGTGTGTCCGGAGAAGGCAGCTTCTCGGGGGGAGAATGGGGGGCGTGTGGGTGGGAGCGGGTCAGGAGTTGGGATCTGGACATGACCAGTGAGAAGTCTGGTTGATGCTGTATATTAGTTTCAGGATTTCTTTGCCTCCATCTTTCGATAAACGGTACTTTTCTCTCTAGGTACTATCACCTGATTGTGCGTGCTGCCCCCCCCCCCAACCCCCCAGGTCAGGGCTTGGAGCCCCAGGCCAGTGAGGCCCTCTAGAGATCAGCGAACCCTCTTTAGATGAGGCCACGGCTTTTCCTTCCCTTTTCCTCCAACAAGATTAACAGAAAGGATATTGGTTTTATCTGGGCTTTGGGGGTTTACTAATAACGGTACGGAACCTTGCAGTATAGTCGGCAAAGTGATTTGTAGATGAATCGTTAGCGTCTGGGTAATATTACCCCAGTTCCTCCAAGTTCCGCGTGGCCTTGGATTTGCCCAGCGAGAGAAGAAACAGTGCGTCAGTGGTGCGGTCAGATCCTCCCGCCTGCTTATGAGTTTTGTGGCCTTGTTTTCCCTGCTTCGGATTCTGTGCCTCCCTCTTCTCTCTGCCCCTCCTCCATTCATGCTCCCTCAAAAATAAATAAACATTAAAAAAAATGTAAGTTTACATATTTTGGGGAGTGCAGAGTGGGAGGAGGAGGGAAGGGGAGAATCCCAAGCAGGCTCCACGCCATCAGCACAGCGCCAGATGCAGGGCTTGAACCCACCAACTGTGAGATGATGATCTGAGCTGAAATCAGGAGTCGGATGCTTAACCGACTGAGCCACTCCCCTCCCCCCAACATGATCTTTTAGGAAAGAGGAAATATTCTAGGTCTTACACTGTTTGAGAATGCCCCATTTTCAGCAAGAGCTTTCCCCTTTATAGAATGGTGGTTGCTTATTACGTTTCACCAGGTTGGATTTATTGTTTGTTCTTTTGACCCAGGTAAGGCCAAGCGGTCAAAGTCAAAGCTATAACCCTCAGCCATGTCAGCTGCAAGGGCCCTAACATTTCTGAACTATTGCAGTTGTGGGTTACCCCTGTAAATGGGGGGTGAGCGTGTGCGGACTTTCTGGGGGGAGGCACTCGCATTTACAAAACACTTTATGTGCTAAGTGCATCGCGTATGTTTTCTCACCTAATGCTTAAAGCAGTCTCCCGGGTGTCCGTGATCCCTGGCTGGGCAGTTAGAGGATACAGAATATTGATCCTGATGCATAGACTCTTCTTTTTTTTTTTTTTTTATTTTTTATTTATTTATTTATTTATTTAAAAAAAATTTTTTTTTAAATTTATTTCTAGGAGAGAGAGAGAGAGAGAGAGAGAGAGACAGCGTGAGCAGGGGAGGGTCAGAGAGAGAGGGAGTCACAGACTCTGAAACAGCCTCCAGGCTCTGAGCTGGCAGTTAGCACAGAGCCCGACGCGGGGCTCAAACCCACGAACTGCGAGATCATGACCTAAGCGAAAGTCGGACGCTTAACCGACTGAGCCACCCAGGCGCCCCGCATAGACTCTTCTTGGCATTGTGTCAAGGCTCTGCATGACCATTTCCTCTTTCCGTTCCAGAAGGGAAGATTCTTAATATGTGCAAAGCCAACACCACTGCTGGCCCACTGCTTGATTATATATAAGACAAACATAATTTTCTCAAGCTATTCTAAGAATGGGGTGTGTTTTTAATATAGGTTCTTGTATAATGATTTGCTGAGGAATAGTCATTTATTAGAGCCGATAACACCATTCCTCTGGAAAGGAGTAGACTGTGGGCAAGATCAAAACCATTGGCGGGGGTGGGGGTGGGGGTGGGCTTGCTCAGGTGCACTTAATCTTGCAAACCAATGTAAGTAATTGTGGTGTTGGGTGTTTCTGTGCCATTGCCTCGAGGAGATAGTTCTCAGTGAGTCTGGCCAGGAAATGACAAACATTTCTGTGAGGCCCTGCCCTCCCTCAGTAGGGCCTAGGGGGTTGTCCATCTGTTTGACTAGTGAAGGCACCAGCAGAACCCTGTGGTGACTCAGATTTGGGCAGGGCATTCCCGAATGCAGCATTTGTAGTCCCACTTCTGAGGGCAGGGACAGTCCTTCAGTGAAACCAGGTCGCCATCATATTGAGATAAGACTACCTCCCTGTAATTTCTGGCCAGCTTGTACCTTCTCCTTCATCTCAGCCATAAAATATGGATGAACTCTTTGTAATTTCTGGCACTGTATTTCATAGTTCAGCCTTATCATCCCCACTGATTAACATGAAGAATAGATTACTTCTCCGCAAGCCCCACTTTTTCATTCTCAAGCATAAACAGTCTTGAAAACAGTAATCCGTTTACGATCTGAATCAAGTGACCCTGTCTCCACCTTCCCACACCCCACCTGAGTGAGATAAGAGATCAAGGAAGAAAGAGGCGGCGGGGAAGAAAGAATGATGGAAGTATTTATTGAGACTGAAATGGAACATTGTTTTTTTATGAGTTAACAGCACAGTGTGTTAAGAGGCTGGTTACAAACTCACTCCAAAATTAGGATGACCTGCAGTTCGCCAACAGCTCTGCCAACTCCAGCGCCTCCAATCAGAGCCAGGGGTGGGGGTGGGGGGGGAGGGGTAGGACCTTTCAGACCCGAGATAAATTATGAATATAGTTGCGTTGATAGTTAGGTTTACCTCCAGTGAACACCACAGTATTTGCAACTTAAAACACACATGGAATCACCAGTCCCTATTTGTGATGTTTACATGACAGCCCAGGTTCATTCTCTTGTATGTTTCGGGGACAGGCGGTCAACATCGAGCATTTATTTACTTGTCCACGATCTTTGGCACATTTTCTGGTTTCTTCAACAGAAAAGCACAGGCTTAAACTGACTACTCAATTCTGCAGAAACAGGATTATTTGGGATCTCAGTGTAAATACAAGTTTTTTTCTGTTAAGCGTTATTTACAAGATGAGAGGCGAAGCGTAGACTTTTTAAGAGGCCATCTTCATACATCAGAAGAAGAATGACAGGACATAGAGTTTAATAAGCAGGGCCGAGGTGACTAGATTGCTAGTTAGGACAGTCCTCCCTGCAGGAGGAGACAAGTTTCACACAATGGAAGAACCTCCCTGAACCACGAATACCAATGTCTCGTGTTGTGTGTACCAACTCATGGACTTACTCTGCGAGAATCCAGGGTAGGGACTGTGCTCTTCTGGCCAATGTGACTTGTTAGATCCATCAAACCCATATTAAAAGTACAACGTGGCTGGCAGTTTGCCACTGTGGTTTGGGTCCTGATGGGTACGAAATGGCAAAGTACCGTCATTTTTTGAGTGGGTATAATTGACCTTGGAAGAACGAAGCCTTCCAGTTGGATTAAAAACACATCCAGCCTTACGTGAGTGACACGTTTGGATACAATCTCGTACAGAGTTGATACGGATTCCCTCCCGGCCGTGAAGCCTGGGAGCTGAAGATGAATGGGCACCAGAGTATCCCCATAATACATGTCTGCTTTGAGGCTGATACGCAGACGTGGAACGGACAAGATGATTTTTCATTCTCATGCTTCTGAGAGAGGAGTTCCGATAAGCCCCAAAGCAGATGTGGATTGGAATCGCAGTTATTATTCAAGTACAAGGAGAGCTCTTTATTTCACATTGACAGTTTGATTCTGATCTCTGTCTGGCAACTTATATGAAAATAATAAATATATACATATATATATATCTAGCTCTATACTCAGCACTGGGGTTATAGTTCAGTGTTCAAATACAGTACCTTGAAAAAAGGACCCTTCTCGCTTCCTACAAGACCCCTCACCCATCTGGAAACTGTTATTGCGGAACTGTGCTGGTCTGTTTTCTTTCAAAGCAGTTTCTTTGAAATTGGCAGGAGATGAGTTAAAAATGGACAATTTGGCACATTAAATGGGGGGTGCAGCGGTGGTAGTATTTATAGGCATTATAATCTATAAAAATGTGAGAAGTCAAAGGAAATCCATGCCAATAGAAAGCTCGAGTAAAAATTTGTAATTAATGAGTCTTTTTTTTAAAAAACCCAAAACACTGGATTGTGTATGAGAAAGCAAGTTTTCTTCCACATTCATGACCTAATCTAACAGTTATTACTCTACATACTTCCAAACTTTGTTTCTCATATTACGTTGTAGACAATGCAGCTTTCCTTTTAATCTGTTTTCTTTCCCGTTACCCACCTCCAAAATCCCAGAACCCGGAGAGCAAAAGCTGTGAGTCCAATATAGAAAATAATCTGGAGGTCTATATATCAAATCAAATGCACAATCAGCCATTAGTGTGTTTCTTTTCCTTATTTAGTGCTTGGATTTGCTAAGAGAGGCCTCTGAGGACGCGGTCCTTCAGCGTTCAAGGTCCCACGATGCCAGGGGTCCTAGAACTGGGAGGTCTGGGTGAATGAGATGGTGTCGGACTTGTCTACCGCAAAGCCTCCGTTGACGTAGGACTTCTTGGTGTCTGGGTCTTCGTTATCCAGGACTGTGGACTCCAAGGCGAAGGGGTTCACAATGTTGACTTCAGATGAAACATCCATCTGCTCCAGTTCCTTCTTGGAGAGCTTCTCCACAATGCCTGTCCCGAACGCATCACCCAGGACGTTCACCATGGTCCTGAACCGATCCCTGGGGGGAAGAGAGGAGGGGTCAGACAGGGGGCCCACATATCATTTCCGTTTGCCACCGGAGGAAGAAAGGGATCTGAAGTGTTCAGTGGGGAATGAAGCAGAGGCGGAAGGTCCCATACTCGTGGCTGGATTGGAGGCTTCTGTCCTCACAGGTCTAGGGCAGAAGGTGGCTCATAAAAGTACAGAATGAGTACACAGGTCCCCGGGGGTGTGTGTTCCCAGCAACTCCCACTGACCTTCTTAAGTCCAGCACCAGTCTCCCCAAATTCCCTCCCCTCCACCCAAAGAAACGTGAATAGAGTCTTCACAGATATTTTGGGGGAGTTGGGGGCGGGGTCAGAATTGAGCGAGCTGCTCACCCCTAACCTCCAACTTGGGACATTCCTGGGCTCTGTCTCGGCTCAGGTGAAAGACCCCTGTAGGGGCGGGGTATCTGCCAAAGGGGGAGGGAGTGTATGTGTGTGCCTCCACGTGTTCCTGTGCTTTTGTGGGTCCCTGTGTGGTCGTTTCTCTGCCCCACTGGGTCCCTCTAGAAGGAAGCCAGCAGGGACACGGTCACAGGTCAGCCGAGGAGCGGCTTTCTCCTTGTGACGCCCCCAGCCGGCCGTAGCCCCCAGACAGCATGGAGAGGACTCAGTGGCAGGAAGGCGCCCTGGTGACAGAATGCCAGAGCGCTGCCTTATGTGAGCTGCACCCACGGGACAGACGTCTGCCCATCTGGGTGCCCTCCTGTGACTCAGAATAAGGCCACGGATTGAACTAGACCCTGGTGTGAACCAGTTAGTGTCCTATAGATCAGACTGGACCTTTGGCTTCTCTGGGTATCTTGGAAGTGCAGGTCATTGGTTCCAGAAGAATCGGGCAAAGGAGTGATGTACAAAACCCACCGTCACCAGAAAGACAATTGCCTGAGGGGTGGGGGGTCTTGGCAAGAGTGGGGCCACCTGGGCTGGGCTTGGGGGAACTAGCCGGCGGCTCAGGGGGGCCCCACGGCACGCCTTCCCAGGGCAGGAGCTTGGGCCTTGCGGGACAGGACCGTGTCTTCGCCATCTCAGCTGCTGCTTGCAAACCACAGAGCACCGGACTCCTGCCAACCCCGGGTGGTTCTGGGTAAAGCCTCGAAGTAGAGCTCTGCTCACTCCTGAGGGGACAGGGGACAGAGCGAACGCAGTGCACTAGGTGGGTATCAAGATAAAGCCGGGGACCAGGCTCCTTCCAGCCTGAACCGTGGGGGTCACACAAGGCACATCCTTGCCCAGAATTTCCACTGTGCTCCTCAGTCTTCCGTGTGTGTGCGTGTGTGTGTGTGTGCGTGCGTGCATGCACGCATATGTGCGAGAGTTGTCGGTATCCTTCTACTCCTAAGCAAACCTGCCATCTTCGGAGCACATCCCGCCCACCAGACCCTGCTGCGGCCGCGCTGCTGGCACCAGCCCCCTGGGCCCCGCGCCAACCTGGCAAAGAGCACAGGACCTCTCCCATCTCACTGATAACGCGGCTGGGCCTCTGAGAAGCTAAGGGATTTTTTTCCAGGTCAAAAAGCTGCTGAGACACTGAACAGCGATGCAAACTCGAGCTGATCTTACCCCAGAGCTCCTGCCACCTCCCCCTGCGGATGCTGAAGATCTCGGGAAGATGGGCTGACTACGAACCAGGCGGTCCTAAACCCACGCCGGGGCCCCCGGGCCGGAGGAGGCGACAGTGGCCTACAGGGTTTGGAATACTCGGTGCAGCCCCTGCAGGTTGTCATCTTGCGTTGCTCTCCTCCCAGGCCCCACTCCCTTCCTGAGCATGACCATGTAGCAGGGGCTGATGGAGGTCCCTGGCCTTGGAAAATCACTGCCTCAAGTCACGAGGAGTTAATTTTTAAGCGCTTTATCAGATGGCCTGGCCGGAGGGAAATGAAAGCAGCAACAGATGGCTCATCAGGCAGCGGCGACCCGTGGACAGGTGACGGCTGGGTGTAGCTTGTGCAGGGCTGGAGGCCCGCCCTCCCAGCCGCCAGAGGCAGCGTGTGTACCCCGACTCACAGGAGCCAGTCGACGGCGATGATCAGGGTGACATCCTCGGCGGGCAGGCCCACGGCACTCAGCACGATCACCATGGTCACCAGGCCGGCCTGCGGCACCCCCGCGGCTCCAATGCTGGCCGCCGTGGCCGTGATGCTGCAGCCAGAACACACGAGCGCAGAAGGAGTCAGACACCGGTCTCCCTTCAGGGCCCGTCCCTGGCCGGGAACCGTTAGTCCCGATGCCCGTGACTGCTGTGTTCCCCCAAACTGGCCTGTGAGGATCTGTTCTGCGCTGAGCACCAGCTCAGCCTCATCAGGGAGCGGTGGGGGACCAAGGGGGTGTCTATCTCCTCCCATGGGCAGATACGGCAAGTGGCTCTAACAGAAGGAAGAGGAGACGAGCTGCCTGAGTAGCACTCAGAAAATGAGCAAGAGGGCTATTCACGAGGAGGGCTATTCACGAGGAAGGTTGGAGTTTGACCACCTGGGTGCTGGTGGCAGGCATCAGCTACCTGCCCACGCATCCATCACCTTCCACAAGCGCCAATCACCTCTCTGCCTGCTTGCTTTTTCTCTTCATCCATGTGTCAGCTAGCCAGTCCTTAAGTGGCATCTCCTATGTGCCAGGGATTTCTGCTGCCTTAAAGGATGGGCAGAGGGAGGGCGGTCCAGGTGGATGGCAAGGGTATTTCAGGGGAAGACAAAGGAACGAGGCAGGGGTCAAGCACGTTTTATGCACTTAAAATTTTTTTTTTTAATGTTTATATTATTGAGAGACAGAGCATGAGCAGGGGAGGGGCAGAGAGAGAGGGAGACACAGAATCTGAAGGAGGCTCCAGGCTCTGAGCTGTCAGCACAGAGCCTGACCTGCAGCTCGAACTCAAGAACCATGAGATGATGACCTGAGCTGAGGTCAGACACTTAACCGACTGAGCCACCCAGGCGCCCCCATGCACGTTCCTGACATCACAAGGCTCCTGGCTTCTGGGAGCTGCCCATTAGGGCACTGAACTGAGAGCCAGCAATGCTTCCTGTCAAGATACAAGTGTTTACTCCTGACTGATCCTTTTGGCCAGGGGATGCACTTGCTGCAAAAGGAAGATGGTTCTGGAACCAGGAGAGGCAGCCAAGTGAACTTCCTTACAACATATTTAAAAAGATCCCTCTTATGGGGAGCCTGGGTGGCTCAGCTGGTTAAGGTTCAACGCTTGGTTTTGGCTCGATCTCACAGTTTCATGAGTTTGAGTCCCGTGTCAGGGTCTGCACTGATGACGTGGAGCCTGCTTGGTAACCCCCACCTTGTGCTATCTCTGTCTCAAAATAAACAAACTTAAAAAAATGTAAAAATAAATAAAAAGACCCCTCTTGGGGTTGAATGGCTCAGTTGGTTGAGTGTCTGACTTGATTTCAGTTCAGGTCATGATCCCAGGGTCACGGGATCAAGCCCTGAGTCAGGCTCTGTGGTGAGCATGGAGCCTGCTTAAGATTCTCTCCCTCTCCCCAATCTGCCCCTCCTCTGCGTGTATGCTCTCCTTCTCTCTCAAATTAAAAAAAAAAAAAATTCTAAAAAGATCCCTCTTGGGTAGGTAAAATGTGGTGCTAGGGGTTCCTTTCTTTGGAAGGTGTGGTTTTTCATCAGCAATAGCATCCTTATTTAAATCTGATTGTTTTTGGAGGAAACCATACCCTGAAAAGCCCCTAAATTTGAATGAGCTTGAGGGGACACCCACTGTGCTTTCTGGACCCATGTTCTCATCCTTAGTCCAAGGAGGCCACTGGGTTGAATGGGGGAAGATGTAGAAACAGTCTATTTAAACTAGAAGAATCCCTGGGGCATCTGGGTGGTTCAGTTGGTTAAGGGTCCAACTTCAGCTCAGGTCATGATCTCATGGTTCACAAATTTGAGCCCCGCACTGGGCCCTGTGCTGACAGCTCAGAGCCTGGAGCCTGCTTCAGATTCTGTGTCTCCCTCTTTCTTTTTTTTTAAAATTATAGTTTATTCTTTTTTTAAAATTACAGTTTATTGTCAAGTTGGTTTCCATATAACATCCAGTGCTCATCACAAGTGCCCTCCTCAATGCCCATCACTGTTTTTCCCCTCTCCCCCACTCCCCATCAATCCTCAGTTTTCAGTTTTTAAGTCTCTTATGGTTTGCCTCCCTCCCTCTCCTTAACTATTTTCCCCCTTCCCCTCCCCCATGGTCCTCTGTTAAGTTTCTCCTGTTCCACCTATGAGTGAAAACCTATCATATGCCTTTCTCTGCCTGACTTATTTCACTCACCATGACACCCTCGAGTTCCATCCATGTTGCTACACATGGCCAGATTTCATTCTTTCTCATTTCCATGTAGTATTCCATTGTATAGATGAACCATATCTTCTTGATCCATTTGTCAGCTGATGGACATTTAGGCTCTTTCCATGATTTGGCTACTGTTGAAGGTGCTGCTATGAACATTGGGGTACATGAGGCAGCCTCATCTCTGTGAGGGGTGCCAAACACCCTATGCCTCAGCACTCCTGTATCCCTTGGGTAAAGTCTTAGCAGTGCTATTGCTGGGTCATAGGTGAGTTCTAGTGTTAAGTTTTTGAGGAACCTCCACACTGTTTTCCAGAGGGGCTGCACCAGTTTACATTTTCACCAGCAGTGGAGGAGGGTGCCCGTTTCTCCACATCCTCGCCAGCATCTAGAGTCTCTTGATTTATTGTAGCCACTCTGATTGGCATGAGGTGGTATCTCAGTGTGGTTTTGACTTGTATTTTCCTGATGAGGAGGGATGCTGAGCATCGTTCCATGTGTCTGTTGGCCATCTGGATGTCCTCTCTGGAGAAGTGTCTGTTCAAGTCTTCTGCCCACTTCTTCACTGGATTGTTTTTTTTGGGTGTGAAGTTGGGTGAGTTACTTACAGATTCTGGATACTAGCCCTTTATCTGAGATGTCATTTGCAACTATCTTTTCCCATTCTGTTGGTTGCCTATTAGTTTTCCTGATTGTTTCCTTTGCTGTGCAGAAGCTTTTAATCTTGATGAGGTCCCAATAGTTCATTTTTGCTTTTGATTCCTTTGCTTTTGGAGATGTGTAGAGTAAGAAATTGCTGCGGTTGAGGTCAAGGAGGTTGTTTCCTGCTTTCTCCTCTAGGGTTTTGATGGCTTCCTGTCTCACATTCAGGTCCTTCATCCATTCTGAGTTTATTTTTGTGTATGATGTTAAGAAAGTGGTCTAGTTTCGTTCTTTTGCATGCTGCCATCCAGTTCTCCCAGCACCATCTGTTAAAGAGGCTGTCTTTTCTCCATTGGATACTCTTTCCTGCTTTGTCAAAGATGAATTGGCCATACATTTGTGATTCCAATTCTGGGTTCTCTATTTTATTCAATTGGTCTTTGTGCCTATTTTTGTGCCAATACCATATTGTCTTGATGATTACAGCTTTCTAGTAGAGGCTAAAGTCTGGGATGGTGATGCCTCCCATTTTGGTTTTCTTCTTCAATATTACTTTGGCTATTCGGGGTCTTTTGTGGTTCTATACAAATTTTAGGATTGTTTGTTCTAGTTTTTAGAAGTTTGTTGGTGCAATTTTGATTGGGATTGCATTGAATGTGTAGACTGCTTTGGGTAGTAATGACATTTTAACTATATTTATTCTTCCGATCCATAAGCATGGAGTATTTTTCCATTTCTTTGTGTCTTCATTTTTCTTCATAAGCTTTCTATAGTTTTCAGCATACAGATCTTCTACATTTTTGGTTAGGTTTATTCCTAGGTATTTTATCATTTTTGGTGCAGTTGTGATGGGATCAGTTTTTTTTTTGGGGGGGGGATCAGTTTCTTGATTCTTTTTCTGTTGCTTCATTATTGGTGTATAAAAATGCAACTGATTCCTGTATGTTGATTTTATACTCTGCGACTTTGGTGAATTCATGGATCAGTTCCAGCAGTCTTTTGGAGTCTGTTGGGTTTTCCATGTAGAGTATCTTGTTGTCTGCAAAAAGTGAAAGTTTGACTTCATCTTTGCCAATCTGATGCTTTTTATTTCCTTTTGCTGTCTGATTGCTGATGCTAGGACTTCCATTGCTATGTTAAACAACAGTGGTGAGAGTGGACATCCCTGTCGTGTTCCTGATCTCAGGGGGAAAGCTCTCAGTTTTTTTCCCCATTGAGGAAGATATTAGCTGTGGGCTTTTCATAAATGGCTTTTATGATGTTTAAGTAAGTTCCTTCTATCCTTTCTTTCAGGTTGTTTTTTTTTTTTTTTTTTTTTTTAAGAAAGGATGCTATATTTTGTCAAATGCTTTTTCTGCATCTATCGACAGGATCATATGGTAAATATCTTTTCTTTTGTTAATGTGATGTATCACATTGATTTATGAATATTGAACCAGCCCTGCAACCCAGGAATGAATCCCACTTGATCATGATGGATAATTCTTTTTATGTGCTGTTGAATTCAATTTGCAAGTATCTTGTTAAGGATTTTTACATCTGTATTCGTCAAGGATATTGGCCTCTAGTTCTCTTTTTTTGCTGGATCTCTGTCTGGTTTGGGAATCAAAGTGATTCTGGTTTCGTAGAATGAGTCCAGAAGATTTCCTTTCATTTCTATTTTTTGGAACAGCTAGAAAAGAATGGGTATTAACTCGTTTTCAATGTCTGGTAGAATTCCCCAGGGAAGCCATATGGCCCAGGGCTTTTATTTGTTGGGAGATTTTTGATAACTGATTCAATTTCTTCCCTAGTTATGGGTCTGTTCAGATTTTCTCTCTCTTCCCATGTGAGTTTTGGTAGTGTGTGTGTGTGTGTGTTTAGGAATTTGTCCATTTCTTCTAGGTTGTCCAGTTTGTTGGTATGTAATTTTTCATAGTATTCCCTAATAATTGCTTGTATTTCTGAGGGGTTGGTTTTAATACATCCATTTTCATTCATGATTTTATCTATTTGGGTGCTCTCTCTTTTCTTTTTGAAAAGCCTGGCTAGAGGTTTATCAATTTTATTTTTTCAAAAAACCAACTCTTGGTTTTATTGATCTGTTCAACTGTGTTTTTTGGATTCTATATTGTTTATTTCTGCCCTGTTTTTTATTATTTCTCTTCTTCTGCTGGGTTTGGGGTGTTCTTGCTGCACTGCTTCTAGCTTCTAGCTTCTTGCTTCTAGCTCC